GCCCAATTATAGTCAAGTTACAGCATAATCAGCGTGGGAGGGGAGCGGAGCTCACCGTATCTCCAAGGTCGAGGTGTGGATTTTTCTAGGGAAGTGCTGATAAGACTCAACTTCGCGTAGAACCATCTCCCCGTGGCCGTGGTGGCTAGCTGTCAAAACCGAGACGGTCTCAGGGGCTTTCAGCTCTGGGAGGACGATACAGCCTAAGGTAGAGAAGGAGTTGTTGTGCTGAGAGGGGGACGATCACCTGGTGGGTCTCTAGGAGGCCCAACGCCCCCGAGCGCATTCGGACGTTGCGGCAGCGTACGTGGCGATTTCCCACGCTAAAAGCGGGGTGTTGCAGCACGTGTAGCGTGGTTGTGCTTTACTTTGGGACTCCTGGCTTGGTGGTGAGACGGAGTCAGAACACCCAGCTTTACTTCGATACTGGCCTGGCCTCCCTGTTTTTGAAGAGTTTACTGATAACTCATGGCAAAGTTCTGGGGCTCAATCCACAACGAAAGAGACTGGAGAAAAGCAAGTAGCTCGATATTGCTGTGATGAGTTGCAGGGTGAACCTGCAACAGAAAAACAATGGTGAGGGTGATGTGATCCTTTTTTTGTCCAGTTATTGCCTGCATTTAACCTGTGTGGGGGGACACCGTGCAGTCCCCCAGGTGCTGGGGCTCTCCTACCAGAGGGGCAGTGCACCAGGTCCCTCTGGCCAGGCCTCTTCCCTGGGACTCCCCTGGCCACACACGTGGCTTGTACCTTCCTGTCATCGAGGAGGTGACAAGGAGCTAAACCAAAACCTTCCAGATTATGGAAAAAGCCTCTGCACATCACAGACATTTCTGTGGTCAGCCTGGGAAACGGACAACAGCTCCAAACTGGTGTAACTCAGGCTTGCTTTGGCAGAAATACACCTTGAATTTTTTGGCTTCGGAATGGGTTTCTTTTTTTCCTGCTATGGGTTTCCTGCACAGGTCTCCTCTGCAGTTCCACCAGGAAGCATCACCCTCCTCCTCCTCCTCCTCCCATCCTAAAGTCGTGCAGCATACTGCCACGTCCCTGCCTGTACTTCAGAGGTGGGTGAAATGAATTCCTACCTGGGGCTGATCCTGCAGCAGGGACCACGAGTCAGGGCTCTGTTCTGCCCTGGTCATCCCAGGTAAACCAGTTCACTTTCTGGAGCTCTGGTTTTGCTGTGGGTGAGCTGGGGGCGCCAGTGCTGGCTCACCCTGCGGGCAGGTTGTGAAGACGGGTGGGTTGTTTTGGGGCTGTTGGAGTGAGCGCAGCTGTCAGCACTCAGCAGTCTAGTTGAGACTAAACTGAGTAAACAGGAGCGCAAATCCCAGCTGGTGTGAGTTGGATCGCGGAGTTAAGGAACAAACTGGCATCTTTAATGCTCTGATGTCCCTCTGCTGCCGTGGAGGTGCCAGGGCCCCAGTGTTACCTCGTTAGGTGCCTGGTTATGTGAAGAGAGAGATCATTAACTAGGGAGAGGTGTCCAGGGCCCGTCAGGCGCTCGCTAAGCCTGGATACACAGGGACTAGGGGAAAAGGAGCATTAAAATCTCAATTTAAATGGAAATCGGAGGCTGTTCCTGAGAGGGAAGGGGCAGCAGCTGGCAGCCTGTCCTGAGAGCGCAGCCAGGGCTGGCGGGACGCGGAGCTGAGCTGTTGGGGCTGGCCGGGACTCGGCCCCCAGCTGGAGGAGGCGTGTGTTTGGGGAAGGGGGACCCGAACAGCACCCGCCGGGGGACGCAGGTGGCTGCCCCGGCCCCTCTGTGGATGGCTTGAAGCACCTCACCAGGTGCTGCTGTGCTCTGCCTGCTCCGTTCCCCAGCCCTGCCCGGATAAAAATCCCGTTTGAATCCACAGTGTGCGGGTCCCATCCTCCCGCCACACTCCTGGACTCTAAGCTCCTTCAGCTCTGCAGGGTTTTTCCGCTTTTCCTTTTTTCCCCGCGTAGCTCCTGCCGCCGTGATGACCAGCGAGCATCCCAGAGACGTTTAACACCGTTACCACGAGCCTAAACCGCTCCTGGAGCATCTGCCATGGAGAGAAAAGTCTGTGGGTCAATCCTGCTCGTAGGTAAATGCCAGCAGCGGTGTGAGGGGGGGCTCTGCTGCCCCCCGAGGATGTGTGGGCGCCCGCTGCCAGCACTGCTGTGCGTTGGGGACACGGGACGGTGGCACCACGTGCCCTGACTCTGCTTTGCAGCACCCATAGCTCCCACTCTGGAAGCCTGTGCCCTGGCCCTGGGTTCAGGGCGTTGGCTCAGCCTGGCTCTAGAGGGGAAGGCGAGCAGGGATTTGGCATCTCAAACCTGGGCTGGAAATTGTGCCTCCCTGCTCGTAGGTTAGAAAGGGTGCTGGAGGGCTGGGGAAAGGGCGCTGTCTCGCTCTGTGCAGGCACAAAATCGATGCTTGTTTTATTACATTGGCCTGAGGCGGGTGGGAAAGACTTTGGGAATTAACTGGGCGTGCGGGTGGTTGGTGCGGGTGATGGATGCAGAGTCCTGCCCGTCGCTCCCTTCCCAGCCGGGCGGCAGGAGGAGCCTGTCTGGGGGGGCACAGGTGGGGCAGGGGATGGCTGCTGCCCCCCAAAATGATTGATTTTTTTTTTTTTTTTTCCAGGTTTAGGAGGAATGGATTTAGCAGAGAAAGGAGGGAAACAGCGCAGGGGAGAGGAATGGGATGTGCCTGGTGTAGGTTGCTGTTTTGCCTGACTTTGCTCCCAAATTGGAGACATCAGCTGCTCTTGTCATCAGGAGCCAGGGCTGGCCTCCAAGGAAAGCAGCTCCGGACAGGGGTCGAGACTGGATGAGGGTCTCCAGATGCTTGGAGGAGCCTGGCAGAAGCTCTTGTGAAATCACCAGCCTGGCTTTCTCAATCTATATGGTAATTCTGAGCAATCAGTCAGCTATTGGGGGGTGGGGAGAGAGGCAGGAGAGATTCACCCTGCCGAGGAGGATTTTCACAGAATCCTCTGGGTTGGAAAAGACCCTGAAGCTCCTCCAGCCCAACCATGGCCCTCACACTGACCATGACTCCCCCAGACCCCTCAGCGCTGGCTCAGCCCGACTCTTCAACCCCTCCAGGGATCCCGGGGACTCCCCCCTGCCCTGGGCAGCCCATCCCAACGCCCAACAGCCCCTTCTGCACAGAAATCCTTCCTCAGAGCCAGCCTGACCCTGCCCTGGGCAGCTTGAGGCCATTCCCTCGGGGCCTGGCGCTGGGGCCTTGGCTCCGGAGACTCATGCCCAGCTCTCTTCGGGAGAGCGAAGAGAACCAGCGTGGGGATGGCTCCGAGCGCGTGAAGGAGCCGGGACGCGGCTCTTTTCCACCCCTACAAGAGAAATAACGAGGGACCCTCGTTACCTTTGAGCGTGTCGCTAACGAACCGCGCAGTTGGTTTGCACCGACCCCGCTCCCGTGTCGGGCGGACGCTTCGCTGGGGCCCCGGCGGCCCCGTCCCCGCCGCGCTGGGGACACGGAGCTGGGGGACGGCGGGCAGCCCCGGGGCAGCAGGTGGGCGATGGGGCCCTGCCCTTGGTTTGGTTCTGAACACGGTTCGACGTTCTGGACGCCTTTGCTCTTCCCGAAACGGTGACCGGGCGCGAGCTGCCCGCCTTCCCCCAGAGCTTACGCGTTAATTTATCGCGGAGTCGGGGGATTCTGTAGAAACGTCGAGTCTCATGGGATTCACTTGGGCGCAGACCCAAATCTCCAGTTACTCACCCCAAACCTCAGGCTCTCGGCATCCCGACCGCCCTGTGCAGTCTAAGAAAGAAGGGTGGGAAGAAAAAGAAAGAAGAAAAAACGGTTAAAAACGGGGACTTTGGGCTGGAGGAACCTTGGGGG